TCCTCTATAGCTAGGTTATTTAGGAAATTGGTCCATTTTTGGTTTTTTGAAGTTCTTGATTCTTCTGTTGAATTTCTTTTTGCATAGAGTTTAGTTCGTGTTTGAGTTGTGGGATCCCTGGTGGTTTGCCATCTTTTACGGATCCGGTTTTTCTCTTTAATCCTATTCTTATATCGGCAGGCAGGGAGGAAAGGCTTGTTCACGTAAAAAGTATTGGGCTTCCTTTAAAGCAGAATTGATGCTGTTGGTAAATTTTGAGACTTCGTTGTTAAACTTCTGTGTTGTTGATGCATGGGTTTCCTTGTATGGAGTTATTCAGAATTTCAGAGTATTTGATCCAATTTGTAACTCCTATACTCTGTCAGTGGGGAGGTATTTATTAATGGGGATTTCAAATACAATGGGGTTGTGGTCGGAAGACAGGGCTGAAATTACAGAGATATTGCATCTGTTAGTAATGTTATTTGAGATGAAGAAGTCAATTGTGGTGGCGCTATTGTACCCTAGTGGGTGGGCTCGTCTGGAGCATGAATAATTTATAATTATTTGATTGAATGAGCTTAAATATGTCATTTACCTTTTTGTTAGCAGGTCCTCGTTTCCAACAGGGGTGTTTGGCGTTTGAAGTCCCCTCCGACAATGGTAGAAGTATTAGAATTAAGGAGGTGAATCAATTCTTGTGCGCTGGGATTATTATTTGGTGGGATGTATATATTCGAAATTTTGAATTTTTTTGTTCTATTACAATTTCTATTGTGTTACTTTCGAAAGCGGTACTGGATTTAGGAATTTGAGCGTGTTTATGCTCCTTTTAACAAATGTGATGATGCCACCGCCTTTCCTGCTCCCGATCAGTACGGTAGGTGTTATAATTAGCATAAAGTACTTTGAGTGCTGGTTTAAGGTGAGTCTCTTGTATGAGTATTACGTCAGGTTCAATTTCAATAATGAGGTTCGATAATTCATCTTTTTTATGGTAAAGACCGTTAGCGTTCCAAGAGAGGATTTTTTATGTTGCATCTGTTCTTGAATTTATTAGCATTAAAGATGATTTCCTATTTTTTCAATGATTCGACTACAGCGATTATTTTATCAAGAGGTGATTTCTTGGTTTTAATGTTTTTGAGTCCTTTGTATCACTATTGTCCAGATTGTTTTTAGCGTAGAGAAGTCAAAGAGGTCTGACAGGGAGGATTCTGCGGTGCTGGTAGTTTCTTCTGTTAGAATTTTCGTTTTGAATGGAGGTTTGAGCGATATTTTCGTTACTGTTTGATGTCAGCGGGGAAAAGTCTTGTTTTCTGTTAGTCCAGGGATTGGTTGCTGGTGAGACTGGGTTGGAACTGAACTTGTTTGTTTTTTGGTCTGGCTGGGCAATTTGAAAGTTGGCTGGGTGAGGACCTTTGCAGTGATAACATATGGCTGGCTGGTCGCGACTACGGGTTTGCATTCTATAGGTTTGTGATTGCCTCCGCAACGGACGCAAACCCAGTCTCTGGTGCAGAGCAGGGAACTGTGAAAAAATCCCTGGCATCTATAGCATTGTGGAGGGCCAGGTTTCTTGCGTAATGATTCTATTGTACGTTCATATAACCTATGCGTTGATTTTGAATACTTCCTTATTTTCTTCTGATTTTGGTATATGTACTAAGAAAAGCGGCATTGGTTTGTTTTCTTTTCTGTTTCTTAATAGTGTAATAAAGTTAACCTTAAATCCTTTGTCAAGAAGTTCTTGAGTGATGGTTTGGGGATCTGTGGTGATGGGTAAGCCTCTTATTATGACTTTTAAAACTTTATCTTCGGGCAGTAAGTAGGTGTGGGCTTTAAGCTTAGTTTCTTCGACTATTTTGCGAATGAATCGATGTGAGTCAGAGTCTGCAGGCTGTATTTCTAGGCGGCGTCCTTTTAAGGTGCCAGTTATCTCTTTTCCGGTTTGCTTGTTTAAGTTTTTTAAGAATTCATCTGCTTTTGGTACGTCATCTACGACAATAATAGGCACTTTATCAATTCTGCTTCGTTTTGGGGCTTGGAGTTTGGTTTTGTATTTGGCGGGTATGGTGTCACTTCTTGTTTGGTTGGTCTTTTGGGGTGGTAGTGAGCTGAGTGGCTGATTCATCTTCGTTGTCCAAATGTATATCGTCTATTTGGTTCTCTAATTGTTTATATCGATTGCTGGTGGTTTTGAAGGGAAGGCTCCTCATCGGAGTCAGAATCCGTTTGTCTATGGCGAAATTTTCTTTTTCTCTGTTCTTTGAAACCACTAGTGGATTGAAGTATGTCGCAGAAGTTTTTAATCTCTTCAAATTGTTTAGCGAGCTTTTCGTTAGAGAGTTTGTAAATTCGTTTATTTTTGTAATTGGCCATCGTCGTTTTCCTGCATACGCAGTTGATTAATGGCTTTAACAAGGAGAAAGTTTAGTTCTTTTTGATCACTAGCGGACATAGATCCCTATCACGACATTTGGAGTCGTTACGAATATCTTGATATCTTCCACCAAGGATCTGGTAGTTTCGACTTCATTGGATAAAGTAATTTTGTGACTTAATATTTGGAGAACGTTGGGTTCATCATTGAGATGTCTCGTGTGAGGATTTTCTGAGTTTGGAGGTGAATTCTCCATGTTTGTGTTATTATTAGTTATAGTTTATGTTTGTTGTGTCATATTGATTAATCATGTGAGGCAAATAAAATTGGAAAAAAAGGCCTTAACTAGAGGCCGTACCCTGAAGGTACCCTTATCAGCACAGGTGAATAAAGATAAATCAGAAGAAAGAATAAAATACAACCTGTTTTGTCCAGTGAAAAAGGCTGCAACAGTGGAAGTAAGGCGACGCTTCTTCGAGGCGAAAGCGAAAGAAGAAAAAACACAAAGCCCTTGAGGTGAGGCGAAGTAGATGAACTCGGTTCAGCAGCGGGGCGTGGTAGCAACATCAAAAGCATGGAGAGCGAAGCGATAAGACGTCTATCTCGAACGCTGTCCCACCTCGGAATGAACAACAACAACAAAAAAAAAAAAAAAAAAAAAAGATAGCTTTGATTCTTAATAATTGTTATCTTAGAGTTTGTAATCTTATCGAAAAGTGAATCAGCGTTTTTAAATATTGGAAATGAAATTTACTAAATCTACAGTAGGCAATGAACGAATAGAAAGTATTAATTCATTACAGATCTTAACATTGCACAAGTGAAAGACGATCACTGAATGTATATTCTTTCTGCTTTGATAAAAGTCTGTAGACCCCCTATAAAGTCTTTTTCCATTTTCCAGTATTCCAGATGGGGCTTAAGGGGTTGTGTTATTTAAATCCTAATGCGTTGTTGCTATGGTTACCCGGGTCATTAGCGTCAACTCTTTTTGGCAAAAAATTTCCTTTTTCACTTCCGCGAGAATCCTATCAAAGGTAGCAGCGCGTTATTCTGAAGTCAGAAAACCAGTGCAACGGTCAGCGCCATCTATTGCCAAAAGGCTACATTCGTGTTTCTCAAAATTCACTCTTAACGACTTCGCTGAACTCTGGTAGTTAGGTCCGGGTTTGAATCCCGTTGAATGAGATGGCTGCATGGGCTTTTTCGTGGGTTTCCCCATGTGTAACGGAAATACGATCAACACTGACTACACCAAGTTTCTTTTAAAAGTTCTTCGTAGGACAACTCTCCCATTAGCAACTCTCCCTCCATTGTGTGTGTCGTCGTAATCAATGGGGAAAATAATAGTGTTTGAAGTATTAAAGAGGAAGGAAAGGATCTCAAGGAAATTCAAATTTTATCTGACACTGATTTCAAATGAAAGCTCTTAATTGAAATTTATTTTGAATTACAAACAAGCATATTCCGTCCTTCAGATGCACTTATTTTGCAGTTGAAAGGGAGAGTAGCGTGGGGGAGGGAGAAAAGGGGAAGTAGAATTCTGTTAATATTTAATCTTACTATTATTAAAATATAGAATTGTTGAAAAATAATAATTATTATTAAAGTTAAGAGATGTTACGCCGAAATACTTTAAGAAAAAAATTATGAACACTACAGTATTTTTAGAAAATGAAAGTTATGGATTTATGAGCCAACAGAAATGTTCTTAACTTTCAATTTCATGTTGTCATTTTATGACGTCATATCGCAGGGCCTTGGCCTTGGAAATTATGAACAATTCCTAAATAAAACGCGTTTAATGACTGTTTTGAATTATTGAATTTTGTGAATATAAATCTACACAATTATAATAAAATTTTCTGTACAAGTACTCAGCAGTTTTCATGTTGTCAAGGTAACGTGTATTGTAGGCTAACATTGTTTACAAATTGTATGTCGTAATGATTTGTAGTTTCATGTATTGTGATAATGTCGCTGTATGCAGTGAAATACGAATTTAGAGTTGTCTATTTATTTGCTTTTCGATTTTTATTTGGTCAATGAACATATTCTGAAGCCTAACTAGTTATGTTTTGCAGTATTACTAGTAATAAAATTATAAATTTGGGTGGGCCTTTGTGTTTTGATGATTTGTATGCGGAAAATAACGTGAATGTAAGTATTTTGATAAAATGCAATTCTCACCAAAGTAATAATTTATGTAATTCAAACTATTATATTTTTACCTTTATAAGCCTTTTGTACCCTCTGTTAATATTTTACTCAGTTTTCTTGATTAGACAAATTCAAGTAATGGCAGTTGGTGTTTTATTGGTATTTATAAGCATTCGTATTACAAATTTCGGTCATTTAGGTTTTAGTTAGTTATTTTATTATTAAATACAAAGAAATGGTTGCTGCGTTGTAAAGTGAGGTCGTGAAATAATGCCATCATCATGCATTTTGTTAACTCATGAATATACTTGATGTTTCATATGCCACATTTTTCATGATTTATGCCTCATTCATTTGCGTTTCTTCTTCGAGATTGGAGAGCTGAAAAGTAAAATGATGTATTATACGTTAGTTAGTAGTAAATAGTATTAATTGCTTGCAAATTGACAAATATTTGAAATTTTCCTATTATGTACTGGCAAATAAGTTTGCCAAGTATTGCGATTAAGTATTGGGTTGATCTTTACAATATGGTAACTGGTAGTTTGGCGACATTTTGGAGGCGATAAAAGTTACTACCTGGCACATTGGTAATAATGTGAGCAGTACTCAGTTCCGATTACGCATTATTTTGTGTGAGGGAAATAAGAGATCATGGAATATGTCATGTGATATTAATTGATGAATTACAGTTCTTTAATCGGAAAAGGGGGGAAATCGGGAAAAAATCTGGAAATTTTGTATTTGGCTTTATTCTGTGTTCTGTGAAACAGTGTTCGTGAATTTTTGGATCCCATGGCCATAACTAAAGTGAATTCGAAATGGGTATTTATGTATGTATTAATTTAATATATGTGCTCATTTATATTTTAAGTAGTGTTTTTGAATTTAATTATATTTTAATTAAATGATAGTTATTTTGTGAATTTTATGTTGTAGGAATTTGATATACGTTTTAGTTGAAGTAAATGTGCATGGAAATAATTTAAATCTGACAATAAGTATTTGTAATGGTTGCGTATAATGAATTCGTTGGTGACGTGTATAATGTATAGAATAGATTTAGAGGTAAAAGTTTTTGGATATTTTATTTATTTTATATGTGGAAATGTTCATTACTTTTCGCGATCAGGTAATTTCATATATGTTCTTTTTACCGGGTTTAAAGATTGAAAAATTGTCATGTATTTTCGTGAAATTTTTCTAATTTATGAGAAAAAAGCAGTGTACATGGATATAGTAAAGGGTGTGCGCAATGCCATTTTTGTGCAATTCTGGGATGTTTTTTTAAGTAAAAATAAGTCAGCGTATACATGGTTTAGTGATATTTTAATTAATGATAGTTATTTTGTGAATTTTATGTTTGTAGGAATTTGTTATACGTTTAAGTTGAAGTAAACGTGCATGGAAATAATTTAAATATTTGATACTAAGTATTTGTAATGCTTGCGGTATGAATTCGTTGGTGACATGTATATGTAATAGATGATTTAGAGGTAAAAGTTTTTGGATATTTTATTTATTTTATATGTGGAAATGTTCATATTGTAAAGGGTAAATACTTTTTCGCAATCAGGTAATTTCATATATGTTCTTTTTACCGGGTTTAAAGATTGAGAAAATTGTCATGTATTTTCGTGAAATTTTTCTAATTTATGAGAAAAAAGCAGTGTACATGGATATAGTGAAGAGTGTGCGCAATGCCATTTTTGTGCTATTCTGGGATGTTTTTTTTAAGTAAAAATAAGTCGGCATGTACATGGTTTATGTGTATGTGTTATTTTGAAAAACGCGTAAGGAGTATGGTATTGTGCACTTTTTCCCAATTTTGCAGTGAATATTTGTCATGATGAAGCAGTTTTTGTTAGATAAAATTTCTAGCATAAATGTAATTCGGCTAGTAGATTGTTGGAAGAAGTGTTCAGTAGATAAAAAGAAAAGAAACATGTTTTTACTTCGTGAAGACAAAATGGCGGCGGGAAAAAAAATAGAGGGTTGCTGTAAGAGAGTTGGTCGCCAAATTTTCGCCAAAAAAACGCCAGGTTACGATAATGTAAAGATCAACCGAAGTGTTCAGTAGATAAGAAGAAAAGAAACATGTCTTTACTTCGTGAAGACAAAATGGCGGCGGGGAAAAAAAAAATAGAGGGTTGCTGTAGGAGAGTTGGTTGCCAAAAAATTGCCAAGTTACCATAATGTAAAGATCAACCAACACTTCTTCCAACAATCTACTAGCCGAATTACACTTATGCTAGAAATTGTATCAAACAAAACTGCTTAATCATGACAAATATTCACTACAAAATTGGGAAAATGTGCACAATATCATACACCTTACGCATTTTTCAAAATAACACACACACATAAACCATGTACACGCCGACTTATTTTTACTTAAAAAAAACATCCCAGAATTGCACAAAAATGGCATTGCGCACACTCTTCACTATATCCATGTACACTGCTTTTTTCTCATAAATTAGAAAAATTTCATGAAAATACATGACAATTTTCTCAATCTTTAAACCCGGTAAAAAGAACATATATGAAATTACCTGATTGCGAAAAAGTATTTACCCTTTACAAATATGAACATTTCCACATATAAAATAAATAAAATATCCAAAAACTTTTACTTCTAAATCATCTATTACATTATACACGTCACCAACGAATTCATACCGCAAGCATTACAAATACTTAGTATCAAATATTTAAATTATTTCCATGCACGTTTACTTCAACTTAACGTATACCAAATTCCTACAAACATAAAATTCACAAAATAACTATCATTTAATTAAAATATCACTAAACCATGTACACGCCGACTTATTTTTACTTAAAAAAACATCCCAGAATTGCACAAAAATGGCATTGCACACACCCTTCACTATATCCATGTACACTGCTTTTTTCTCATAAATTAGAAAAATTTCACGAAAATACATGAAAATTTTTCAATCTTTAAACCCGGTAAAAAGAACATATATAAGAAATTACCTGATCGCGAAAAAGTAATGAACATTTCCACATATAAAATAAATAAAATATCCAAAAACGTTTACCTCTAAATCATCTATTACATTATACACATCACCAACGAATTCATACCGCAAGTATTACAAATACTTAGTATCAAATATTTAAATTATTTCCATGCACGTTTATTTCAACTTAAACGTATACCAAATTCCTACAAACATAAAATTCACAAAATAACTATCATTTCATTAAAATATAATTAAATTCAAAACACACTACTTAAAATTAAATGAGCACATACATTAAATTAATAAAAATTACCTTACAATCCTAATTACTTTAAACTAAATCATTGCTAATAACAATTTTCCCAATAATAACCAAATTCCTTTCCACTTACATTTAGAACAATGCATAAAAATAATATCCTCAAATAATTAAAAATACTAACTTACCTAATCCTCTTCAAAATCTGATTACTGGCGGATACACTTTTCTAATTCATTCAATAAATTATTCAAAATTTTTTCTGCGAATTTTTCCTCCATACTTCCTCCGCTAAATAAAAGCAACTTCTCTTTATCACAATGCCTAAAATACCCATTTCGAATCACTTTAGTTAGAGCCATGGGATCCAAAAATAACACAACACTGTTTCACACAACACAGAATAAAGCTAAATACAAAATTTCCGCATTTTTTCCGGATTTCCCCCCTTTTCCGATTAAAGAACCGTAATTCGTCCATTAATATCACATGACATATCCCATGATCTCTCATTTCCCTCACGCAAAATAATGCGTAATCGGAACTGAGTACTGCTCACATTATTACCAAAGTCCCAGGTAGTAACCTTTATCGCCTCCAAAATGTCGCCAAACTACCAGTTACCATATTGTAAAGATCAACCGAACGATCAATTAACTAAAAATAAAATCACAATTTCCTGTGCTTTTGTTTCAGTGGATATATGGCATTTCACTTTTATTATGAATGAAAAACCTAGTGAGAATTTCATAATTACTTGCTTTTATTTTCAAGTCAGAATGTACAGTTACATTTATTATAAATCAAAGAGTACTTAGATTGGTCTAAATGCTTTGTTTTGTGCTGTTCGTGGATATTTTCTAGCTCTGAAGTGCATTATATGTAAAATTTGGTGTTTTGGTTGAAAAATAAATCCTTTTTGGTTTGACCTTGGAATTTTGTTATGTGTCTTGTTATGGGGTAGGTGAAGATAAGCACTTAATGTGCCTTGTGTATTGCATGGTAACTACTTTTGCATATAACTTCCACTAGTTTTTTAATTATTCATCATAATGTAGCCCAAAAGTTTTATATATTCATCATAAAAGTTTATTGCCTATGTAACAACCCATGTGTTGACTGCTTTTTTGTCTTATTCATCATCTTGAAATTCCTGGCCCTTAAGGAAAGATTTCATATATTTGAGCAGCTCAAAGTTTTTTGATGCAAGTTGTTTGCAGAGATGTTAGTTGAATTATTCCCAGCTGAAAGGGGCAAGAAATTGTAGTCAAAGAATTTGAATTCGGAGAAGTAATCAAGCTTCAATGACATAGCACGCCATAGAGAAAAGCCGAGTCGAAAATGTGTAAAATCTCAACAGACTTTACAGATGTAAAGACAGGCCTTGAAATTCATCTGTGAATGTGATCCAAAACTGCGAGCAACATCTAAGAACCTGTCAAAGTGCTAAATTGAATGATTTAAAAACCTGAATTTTTTACATAGAACTTTTAATTCTTATTTCTTTAATGTTAGAAATATCTTTAATTTCATTAAAAATTTTCATTTTTATTCAATAAAAATTCTCATGTCATTTCATAACATGAGAAGGTAATAAATAAAGAAACCACGTATAATGAACAATTAAAATGGAAACTTACATTGGAACTTTTTATTTTAAAATTATAAACCCAAACTATTAAAAAAAAAAAATCAGAAACATTTGAAAGTATCTCAGTATGAAGTTTTCTTATGTAGTGCAGATTCTC